GGACACCCCTCCAAATCATTGGATTAAGATGTTCTAATCACTTCCATGGCCACAGGTGTATAAAAATCAAGCACCTAGGCATGCAGACTGCTTCTACAAATATTTGTGAAAGAATGGGTCACTCTCAGGAGCTCAGTGAATTCAAGCGATGCCACCTGTGCAATACTGTAAGTCCATCCGTGAAATTTCCTGGCTACTAAATATTCTATGCTCAACTGTTAGTGGTATTATAATAAAGTGGAAGCAACTGGGAACAACAGCAACTCAGATATGAAGTGGTAGGCCACGTATAATGACAGAGCGGGGTCATCGCATGCTGAAGTGCACAGTGCACAGAAGTCGCCAACTGTCTGCAGAGTCAATAGCTAAAGACCTCCTAACTTCCTGTGGCCTTCAGATTATCACAACAACAGTGCGTAGAGAGCTTCATGGAATGGGTTTCCATGGCCGAGCAGCTGCCATAGATCATCAAGTGCAATGCAAAGCATCGGACGCAGTGCTGTACAGCACGCCACCACTGGACTCTAGAACAGTGAAGACCTGTTCTCTAGAGTGACGTATCACGTTTCTCTGTCTGGCAATTCGATGTACATGTCTGGGTTTGGTGGTTGCCAGGAGAATGTTACTTGCCTGACTGCATTGTGCCAAGTGTAAAGTTTGATGGAGGGGGGATTATGGTGTGGGGTTGTTTTTCAGGGGTTGGGCTTGGCCCCTTAGTTTCAGGGAAGGGAACTCCTAAGGTGTTAGCATACCAAGACATTTTAGACAATTTCATGCTCCCAACTTTGTGGGAAAAGTTTGGGGTGGCCCCTTCCTGTTCCAACATGACTGCGCACCAGTGGACAAAGCAACGTTAACAGAGATATGGATGAGCAAGTTTGGGGTGGAGGAACTTGACTGGCCTGCACAGAGTCCTGACCTCAACCTGATAGAACACCTTTGGGATGAATTAGAGTGGAGAATGCGAGCCATGCCTTCTCGTCTGACATCAGTGCCTAACCTCACAAATGCGCTTCTGAAAGAATGGTCAAAAACATTCCCATAGACACCCTCCTAAACCTCATTGACAGCCTTCCCAGAAGAGATGAAGCTGTTATAGCTGCAAAGGGCGGGCCAACTCAATATTGAACCCTACGGACTAAGACTGGGATGCCATTAAAGTTTATGAATGTGTAAAGACAGGCGTCCCAATAATTTTGGCAATATAGTGTATATAAGAAGCCATAGTGAGATTCAACTTGCATCTACCTACAACAGTGATATTCTTTGGAGGAAGAGGAAGTAACCCTTGAAATATGTGTTTGAAAGTGCAATACAGTTATCTACCCCTTTCCACAGAAATGAGCAAAATTTAAGCAGATTTTCAAGACTCAGTAGATTTTAATAAACAAGATTTGCCATTTTAGCTCTATCCATTGATGGTGAATAATGAAAAGTGAGCCTTTAAAGTGGAAGTCCAGTCAAATCCTAACTATATTTAAACCTGCTCCCACCCCCATTCGAAGCCTATTCTAACAACCTGTACACTTACCTATGCTGAGGGTGCTACGGTCTGGTCACATGATCAGCGCTGGCTTCATAGTAGAGAAGGGACAGGCAACAATGGATGTCCCATAATAAGCCTATAAATGACGTCAAGACACCGACTCTGCAGCTCTTCACTGAAGCTGGTTGCTGGAGATCATGTGACTGGACTAAAGCGCCCTCAGCATAGGTAGGTATAGACATCTTTCCTTTACAGGGAAGTTAGAATAGAAGTTAGAATGGGGGTGGGAGCAGGTTTAAGTCTAATTAGTATTTGACTGAACTTCTGCTTTAATGGCAGTGAGCTTCATACTCCATTTATTTGGCCCAGACTGGTAACTTAACATCTCCAGCAAGTCTACACCAGCCCACAAACTCATACTTTAGTGGGTTCAAGAGTTTATTTGTTGGATGGTGTGACACCCTGTGGATCTCTCAACATCAGGCTAGCATGCTTTAATAAAATAGCAAATATTGCTGCAGCCTACACACATCCTGTTCTCATACCGGACAAAGTAAGCAGAGCTGGCTCTCAACAAATACGCTGTATCAAAAAGGAATTCATAAAAAGGAAGTATTTTGGTCCTGTGCAGAGATGTGGGCTAGTAAGAGATATATGTAGAAATAAAACACAGTCCAGTACTGCCTTTCATATATCTATTCATAAAATCAATCCTGCATGTCCCTAAACATAGTGCAATAACTAAATATAAAAAAAACACAAATAAAGTATGAAATGCGAATTGAATTTTTAAAACAGTTCCCTTAAATAAAATACAATCACTTTCTTTACTAATCCCAAAAAATGTACTCACTGTAAAATCCTTTTATACCTATTGAAGGACACAGTATGATATTTATTACATGTGGGATATACTGCCATCTACAGAAAGTAGTATTACCCACACATAATGAATATCATGCTGTGTCCTTCAATAGATATAAAAGGATTTTACAGTGAGCACATGTATCCCTCAATGAACAATAGAGAAATAGCCATTTAACAACAATTACAATTACCTATGGTTTGAAAATAAGCCTAACCCAACCTCAGAATTATAACATATTAAGTACTAACAAATGTTGTGTCATGCCTGGAAGAGTCTAACTTTGTAGACTCCCACCAGAATTAGATTACATGGTTTCTGATGAACATCAATTTTAGATCGAGTTGGCCAATCAGGGTGCTTGGCCTGAACACTAATCCTGCCCATCAGTTGACACCAAGGGGTTTATTTACTAAAGCTGGAGAGTGCAAAATCAGACTCCCTTCTGCATAGAAACCAATCAGCTTCCAGGTTTTATTGCCAAAGCTTCATTGAACAAGCTGAGGTTAGAAGCTGATTGGTTTCTATGCAGAAGGGAGTCTGATTTTGGACTCTCCAGCTTTAGTAAATAAACCCCCAAGGGAGAGATTTACTAAAACCAGTGCACTCAGAGTCTAGTGCAGCTGTGCATAGTAACCAATCAGCTTCTAACTTCAGCTTGTTCAATTAAGCTTTGGTGATAAAACCTGGAAACTGATTGTTTTCTATGCACAGTTGCACCCGATTTTGCACTCTCCAGTTTTAGTAAATAACCCCCCCAAATATCTTATTGGCAGAGCGAATCAGGAGCAGGGGCTTCTTCATATCAACTGAGAACGTAACAACTCCCGAGCTTATGGCAGCGTGGAGGTAAAATAGGCTCATTTTAAGACGACAGGTCAACTTCAAGTTTAAATGAGTAAAAGCTTATACAAAAAGATAAATACTATATAATGTATGTTCATTTTTTAATTAAAAATGTAAAAAAAATAAGACATAAATTTTATGTGCTTATATGTTGCTCTGCTGATTGACTGTTTGCCATATTAAAGAAGAGCTCTGTTCTAATATGCCAGAATACTGTGAAAAAAAAAAATAAAAAATGAACATTTTCATCTGTTTTATGTGCAATAAGAGAGCTGCTAATACACATCTAGTATCCGATACACACGTACAACTGAACTTATTCAACAAAACAGTAAGAGCAAAGTGCTAAGGGGAAAGGACATTAGCCATATCAACCAGTCAGAATCCATCTTGTAGTAATATGATTTCAATAAACTGCATTCTAAATGGTTGCTATGAAGTGCTGCAGTTTGCGTTTTGCCTGATTGAATAAGCACAATGTGACTGTACCAATTCCACTACATCATCCTGACAGATAGCACTGCTTACATAGAATTCCTACCAGGAAACTCCTACTGCATCACGGGAGCTGAGTTTTGTTTTTTTTTACCTGGTTCCAACATAAGGGTCAATTCACTAAGCTGTATGAGTTACTATAATTTCTCATCATAATGTACAATTCACAAAGATAAATATTGTGCAGGTTAGCATTAATTTTTTCCATTAAAACACATAACCCCTTCCCCCTGCCATTATATTAAAATTTCCCAGTATGACGCCCCATTCTGGAAACATTAATACACAGCCATTTTGTGTAACTAGTGCCTCTCAATGCCCACTGATCAAAATGCTTAATGATCATGTGATCACTATGCTCTCTATAACACAGTGATCATCTGCAGACCAGAGGCTTTATTGACAAAATAAACCTTAAGCCAACAGTTGGCGGTACAACTGAAGATGGCAATGTTCATCTGTTTTATACTGTAAATGTCAGATACAATGACAATATTTAAAAAATTAGGTAAATAAAGTAGTTAAAAAAGGTAACTTTTTTTTTTTTACATTTTTGCGCTTTTGCCAGGCCATAATAAAAAAAAACAGAGCAACGTTTTTATTAAAACATTATACCAAGTTAAAGTCTTTTAGTTATTTAAGGTGTACTTAACTGATCAAAAATCTTTGTGTATTGATGCTTACATACAAAATTCCCTCCATAATTGCTAACATAATGAGGAGGTGGTAATTAGTCAATAGTCATTAATGCAATGGAAACACTTTTGATTGTGTATATTTAAATATAGCATATGGTAATTAATATATCTCAGATGTTCTGCTTCAGTGAATTGACCCTATGTTTGCTTATGAGTTCCTAAGGAGGAATAGCCACATTGAGCAGCAAAAATTCACATTTCCCCCCCAGGGTCCTGGCATATGGATGTGGGGAGATACTGCAAAACAAGTTTGCAAGAATGACATTTACCTACAAGTTTGTGTTTTGTGGCTTTTTTGCATACAAGTAGCATTTAGTGGAATTCTGCTCTAAGCATATAAGACTGTAGTTATATATAGCATTTTCCTGCTTAAAATATATCTGAATACATATTTTATATATATAAATTCTCTTTCCTGCTAATTTTCATATGTACAGTTCAAGCCTTGTAAAAAAGGCCAGTCAACAAAGTCTTTAGCAAACCAATGTAACCAAGAAGCATTTTGTTCTTAGTGTTCTGGTCTGGCACTTGTTACTTCTGAGGTAGAGCAAACACAGCTACCAACAATCCCACATAATAGTGTGACTGTTGTAGTCCTATAAACACACAATTACAGCTTAAAGTCTTCATCTACACACAGCTGAGAGAGGGTCTTCTTTATACGTAGGGCTGTCAAACGAGCTTTGCCATTGGCGTACCAACACTCACGCATTATCCTCCCCATCAGGCGAAGGGCCTAGAAAAAGAAATATTTCCATTAAGCATATCATTGAATTTATGTAGGCAAACTGTAAACACGCTGCCAATAAGCTGTTAAAAACCCAGCTCCAGTCCAAATGCTTCTTTTTTTAAATTTTGGATAGACCTGGAAAAAGTAAATACATCTGTCAAATATTTAAAGCTGTCCATGAACCTGATAGCACATGTAGCATCCTCTAGTCTGCTACTAGTGTTAGTGTAGGTAAATTTATTATGTTATAACTCATGGTAACTGTGTGAGTCAATAATTAGGTTGGGTTACTGCAGGTCATGATGGGTGACTTGGCAGGTTGCCTCCACCTGGTTCTGGAGGACCATGGAAGCTTCCAGAGCCAGGTGGAGGCCTAAATCTGCAAGTTTATGGGAGTCTGGCCAACCCAAGTTTGGAGGTCCCAGTACTGTGGTAAGGCTAACCCATAAATATGAGGGAGCCATGCTAGCAGAGGAGTTGGGTGGAATATGGAGTGCTGAAGAGGATGTCGGTGGTCTGGGAGGGGTCCCCTAGGTCTAGGAGGGGACTTGGTCTCCAGGCTGGTCTCTGGATGGCCCAGGAAGATCCAGTCAGCATCACAGTATGAACAGGATCATTGCCTGGGAGCAGTGAGAGCAAAGAGGACAGAGTGAGAACATCAGCACACCCAGGAATTCACAAGGGGAGAGACTGCCACATGTAGCAAAAATCAAAGGACAACGCTGTGCTTAATCCTTTATCCTTGTACTGGGAGATCTTCAGAGCAGACAGAAGGGCTGGTAGGGTCTGCAGACTGTGAAGCTTAGAGCAGTTCTACAGGGGAGGGGAGATACTTATGCATGTAGTTTGCAACAATCTGTGCTAACTTTCCGAGGGGCTAAAAGTCCCTAGCCTGTAAGGGGCTTTCGCTACTGATCCATAAAGACTTTCAAGGAGAACAGTCCAGGATCTTTTTCTGTAAATAAGAAGGAAGTTGTCCCCATGCATTGATTCAGTCAAGCTGACCATCCCATAATCCCTATTGCCTCATCCAAGTTATTTCCCCTAATAAAATAACAAAAACTAAGGTTATTTACTGTTCATGGACTGTGGATGCAAGAATGGAAAATGCATGTTTCTTGGCTGTGCAAAGCTTAGGGGGATCCAAAAACACCGCAGCCCTCAAGAGGGTAGCACTACACACATATTGCCAGACAGATCTATGAACACCCAAACTGCACAGTCTATGATGCTCACATTACCTCCTGCCAAATTATACCATTCCAGATTGTTCCAACCCTATTAAATACTGTCCGGCAATTGTCAAACTTGCATACTGCCCAAGACTGCCCTACCAATGCCTAGACACCCAAAACCTCTCATCTTGAATGGCACAGGTTACACCTAACAGTATGTTTTCTATTACCTTCTATCTTTACCCAGCCAGGTTGCCAGAAAAATGTTCAAACCCAACAATGGGCAAATATAAAAATGAATTGCTCATTTATATTGAGTGGAACAATAAAAAGAAATACGCTTTCCCGATCCTCCGCTATCTGGTAAACCTAACCACCAAAAAGATTACACTGAAATTCTTTTTTGGCTCTGGACAGTCAAAATAATGACATTCAGACCGAATTTAAATCTGTCCAAATTTCGGTATCAATTCTAGTAATAAACTGATAGGGTTTCTAAAAATAAAACCTAAAAAACTAAAAGAAGTAGTTTTGGATGAAGTTTGGCTTTAAAATAAAACACCCATTTACTGAGAAAACTATAAGCATTACAAAATTGCTGCTTTCTGCTGCATTCCACACCACTTCCACCCACTAATTCACTCACTGTCTGGAAAATTGGCAATTACTTCAAAATCAAGACTGGTGCAAATTGTGACAAGATCTCCACTGTCCTCAAATCCCCACCACCTAAGATACCATGTCTAACACATTCAACACTTTTTCTTTGATCCTGTTAGCACAGAAGAGATTGCCAAACTTCTGTCTGATGCCCAGTTAACCACCTGCCCCCTGGATCCTTCACAAATACTTTGCTCTCTGCCTCACTCTATTCTACACTCCTAGCTCACATCTTAAATCTCTCCCACTCTTCTAACATCTTCCCCAATCCTCTAAAACATTCACTGGTCAACCCCATACTAAAAAACCTTCACAGAAACCCTGTTGTCCAATTAACACCCATCTCCTTACTCCTGTTTACCTCCAAACTTCTAGAATGCATAGTTTACAACCATCTGAGTTACAATCTTACTATTGGCAACCTTCTCAACCCTTTCAGTTTTGCTTCTGCCCACAACACTCCACAGAAATGGCTCTCTTTCTGCTTCCTTTGACACAGTTGATCATTCTCTAAAATCTCCACTCCCTCAGCCTCCAAGAATCTGCTTTTTCCCTGTTCTCCTCCTACCTTTCTCAGCACACTTTCATTGTCACCTACAATTCTATTTGCTCTTCTCCTCTTTCCATATGATTACCTAAGCCTCTGTCCTTGAAACACTTCTATTTTCTATCTACACCTCCTCCCAGGGTCAGTTGATAACTTCACCGGTTACCAATATCAATATGCTGACCGTACCTAAATCTATCTCTCCACGCTCACCTCTTCTTTTTCCTAACACATCAATGACTTACTAATTGACCTATCTGGATGGAAGTCACACCAATTCCTTAAACTTAATCTTTCCAAAACTGAGCTCATAACATTTCCTGCTCCCCTCAGTTTTTCCAACAAGATCAACAACACTGCAATCAACCACTCCCCTCAGGCCACGGAATTAGTTGTAATCCTGGACTCGGACCTCTCCTTTCAGCTCCACATTCAATCACTGCCCACTGACCTTCATCTCCACAATATTTATAAAACTCCCCCACTTCTTAAAACCTGATACCACAAAATGTCTACTTCACTCCTTTGTTATCTCTTACCTCAACTATGGAAAGTCCCTCCTTGTTGGCCTATCTCTAAGCACACAATTCCCCCCTTTAGCCTGTCATGAATGCTGCTACCAGACTCCTCCACCTATCCAACAACTTGGTCTACACCAACCCTCTCTCTTAATCCCTCCACTGTCTTCCTCTCGCCAAGCACATAAAATTCAAAATACTAACTACAACATACAGTACAAAGCCATGCAAAGTTCTACCCTAAGCTACATTACCAACCTTAACCTAAAATATCACCCAAACCACCCTCTTCACTCCCCTCAAGACCTCTGTTCTCTAGTTCCCTTGTCACCTCCTTTCATGCTTGCCTCAAGGACTTCTCCAGAGCCTCTCCCTTATTCTGGAATTCCTTAACCCAATCCATTCAGCTATCTCCAACTCTGCCTTCAGGTGATCCTTGAAAAGTACTTTATTTGGGAAGCTTATCCCACCTTTACCTAAAAACTGGAATGTTGTATTCTCCATTAACCCTACCCCCCCCCCCCCCCCCCCCCACCCCACACACACACACACACACACACACACAGTTATTACCTTTTGTATCAGTTGCCTCTCCATTTAGATTGTAAGCTTTCACATGTAGGACCCCCCTAACCCCTTTGAATTGAATTGAATTGTAATTGTAATGTTTTTCTGCACAAACTCTTGGTGCTATATAAAGCCTGTATAATAATAATAATAATTAGTGAAAAGCAACAAGCTCTTGAGGGCCACCAAAAGCAAATCAGTACCATGGTGATCTGTGAAGGTAGAGAACCTACTTTTGAATTTTACAATGAAAGCAAAGATGTGTATTTGAGTACAGAAATGAAATACCTCAAAGCTTTGCCATTGGTTTGGAATGTTGGGTCGAAGTTTCTGCTCACAAACAACCTTTCTCATGTCCTCCAATGATGGATCAGAAGGCACCATATCATAGTAAGGCAATTGGTATTCATCCACAACACCTGCCAGCATGTAAAAGACAGATCAAAATACAGATTACTTTTCAATTCACAGCCTTAAAGCCTTCAAATAGCTGGACTTATGCTGTTACACTAAATCTAGGCGTATACTGCATTTTGGAACAGAACCTTAAATCAGGTTGGACTTAAGCCAGAATCTTCTTTTGCCTTACATAATATGTACATACCAAGCTAAAGCTATTACACTAAAACAGCTCAATGTGATTTAGGTCCAGGAGTCATTCTCATAGCTCCAGCTGGTAGAGGAAGGTGATGGTGAAACTAGAGGTGGTGTGGGGAAGAAGGTCCTGCACAGAGCTCTAGTGAAAGGCACCACACTCCTGCTACGTAACCATTTATTGTTTCATCCAAAACAAATATCTTTTAAAGATAAAGTGCCCATAATAGGTTCATGACAAATAACGGGCATTCTAGTACAGTCTTGATAATGTATTTAAAAATATAACATATAGGCATAATCTTGTTACTGAAAGGATGCAGCTCCTCCAAAACTCTTTTGTTATTAAACCCAGGACCCTGCATTCACTATATCTGGTCTCCCACAGTACACAGAACATGGAAATGCAATAGTTTTAGTAAATATAAACTGCAAAATACCTTTCTACCAGCAGTCTTGTGACTACTATCAGTGTCCAGCAGAGCACCGGTTAAAGCTTGTAGTTTTCATTCTCCCCTGATTGTCTTATGTGGCTGCATAACCCCTGACCCTCTGTCTGGACAGCGCTGATTGGCCCTGTGCTGATCACATGCATACACACCAAACTGAGCATGTGTAGCTTGCCCCTAAGGCTCTGTTCTATCAGCAAATGAATTGGGGACAGTGGAAGAAGGGCAGGATCAGAGAACACAGGATCAAACATCCTTTTTACACAATGTGGAGGATTAACCCCTTAGGTTCCACAGTGAGAATAACAAGCATGCTTTACTGCATATACAGACTGATTTCACTGTTGTGGGTTTAGTAACACTTTAAATGCATCTACATCCTAAATGAAAAATTGAACATAGAATTTCTGGTTTCTTTTTTTTTTTGCTTCTTCTCAGTCCTGTGTATGGCCACCACTCCTTTGCTGTAGAACGATAGCTAACCAGGACTAAACAAGGAAAAACAAATTTAGCTTCCATCATGCAATAACTGTTTTCTAAATTGTTCTCTATGTAAGCAAAGCTGACCTCACTGTGATGCAGTGAATGGTGTTAGCACAGACTCCAAACTTTTCAGATTGTTGGTTGCTGGCTACATATTAATTGCTCTCCCTTTGCAAGTAATGGAAGAATCTACATCAATTTTAATGATTTCACCAACTTCTTATTGTAAAAAAAAAACATTCTGCATTTTCATTAGACCAAAGTCCTTTATTAATGGGGAACACTCTATCCTGTTACGCCAAGGACTAAGGGCTATAATGCATAAATAAAGCAAGAAAACAGAAACATCCATTTGTCATCAGCCAACAGGACAATAAAACAATGTGACATCCCAATCTGACAGGTCAAGGGTCTGTTTTTTATGTTTGTATATTAGAGCAGGCTGCATCACAAATTGTTTTTATGAGCCATGCAAGAAATAACAGGAACAAGGTAATAAATACAATAAAGGCAATTCCACTTGAAATAAAAATAACAAGTTCTCACCGCCTACAGAGCATCTCCTGGCAATTTCCCAGTACACAAGGCCCAGGGAGTAGATGTCTGCACATTTGAATGACTCAAAATGATACATATTTATAGAATCGTCCAATAATTCTGGGGCCATGTACCTATTGAACCAAGACAAGCACAATGAGAAGGACAAACAAGCTCTTTGTAGGAATATTGACTAAAAGCATTGTTGATTGGATACATTTACAATCAAGATTTCAGGTTACCGGATGAAGTAACACTGTATTGTTTTCACAGTAATTCAAATAATGTCTCTATGCAGATGAATTTGTTCCCTGTGTCTTCTGCTGCTGGCTAAGGTCCCATAAGTCTATATTATATAGCAGTCTTTCTCAACCAGGGTGCCCAGGCACCCTGGGGAGCCTTGAGGTATCTTCAGGGGTGCCTTGGCAAAATGCCTAAAAATTGCTCAAAACTTGTATACAAGCCAGTGGGTGGAACAAGCCTGCCTTTTAGTTACACAAAGCCACAGGTTTTCATTGTGCACCATTACGACCACCTAGCTGCCGGCGTCCTGACAACTAATGACATCATCAGTTGATAAGGAGGCTGTCAACTGCCTGCACAGCATCCTAGTTTGACCCTCTCCCCCCCTCTCCATCAGTGCTGGGGTCACATTAGCTCAGTGATGGAGAAAAACTGAGGGAGAAGAGAAAAGCTGAAATACCACTTAGTGTGCAAAAGTGTATTTGCTCTGGAAGAACCTCTATCGTTGGTTGTCCTACATGTGTGGATGTTGCTGAGTTATATATAAAACTATTAGAATACTTTCACATTTTAGAATGGGGTGCCCTTTTAAAATTATGGACAGTCTAGAGGCACCCCATTTTAGAATGGTGTGCCTCTAGTCTATCCATCATTTTAAAGAGTGCCTCGGGGCTGTCCATCATTTTATAGGGTGCCTTGACTGAAAAAAGGTTGAGAAACACTGGTATATAGTATGTATAGTGACCTGTTGCTCGGTAAAGTCTCACAGTGTGACCTATTGCTGGCTACACTCCCATGTAGTGACATGTTACTAGCTAAGGTCTTGTGTGGAAACCTGTTTCTGGCTACATTCTAGTGAAAAGCTGCTAGATAAGGTCTAATATAGAGACCTGCTGACTGGTATAGTGACCTAGCTTAGGTCCACTAAAGTGTCCTATTGTTAAATAAGGTCCCATGTAGTAACCTGCTGCTAGCAAAGGCCCAGTATGGAGACATATTGCTAGCAAAGGCCAAGTATAGTGACCAGCTGCTAACTAAAGCTGGCCATACACTGTTTCGAATTTTGGCTGGATCCCCAAGAATTCGCTTACTGGATGGCCCTGTTACCTCCCTCCTGCTTGACATCCTTCAATTGCAAAATCAGAGGAACCGAGTTTGAAATTGTGGGCCAAACAGAAGCTGCATTCAATCAATTGCAGATGCTGTTCAGGTAGCAGCTGCTGGTAAGGGCTGTCAAAATACACTAGTCTCAATGAGAGATCTGTACATCTGTACTGTGTAGAGTAGATGGAGGAAGTATTCTGTGTATGGCCAGCTTAAGGTCTCGTTTGGTGATCTGCTCCTAGTTAAAGTTCTGTATAATTTTCTGTTAATAGCTAAGGTCCCATACAATGACCCCTCTTTAGCTGATGACCCATATAGTGATCTGTGCTAGCTAAAGTTCCATAAAATAAACTGTTACTAGCAAAGGCCCTGAATAGTGGCCTATTGGTACTGAGCTATTATCTAAGGTGCCCCATAGCAACCTATTGCTACCTAAAGTTACATAAAGTGGCCTGTTGTTACCTAAGGTCCCATATAGTGAACTGCTGCCACCTAAGGTATAGTGGCCTGTTGCTAGAAAAGATCCAGTATAGTGACCCGCTAATAACCAAGGTCTTGTTATTATTATTATTATACAGGATTTATATAGCACCAACAGTTTGCTCAGCGCTTTACAATATAACGGGAGACAATACAGTAACAATACAGTTCAATACAAGAGGGTTAGGAGGTCCCTGCTCCTTGGAGCTTACAATCTAAGAGGAAGGGGCTAGTGGTACAAAAGGTAGTAACTGTGGGGGATGGACTGGTGGGAGGAGTAGAAGATTCCATTATTAGCTGAGGGCAGGATAGGCTTCCCTGAAGAGAGAGGTTTTCAGAGATTGCCTAAAAGTGAGCAGAGTAGGCGATAGTCTGATAAATTGGGGTAGAGAGTTCCAGAGGATGGGGGAAGCTCTGGAGAAGTCCTGGAGACGAGCATGGGAGGAGCGGACGATCTCCTATAGTGGTAACAACACTTGTATAGTGTTCTGCTGCCAGCTAAGTTGTCCTATTGTACTATAGTGCCCTATTGCTAGCTAAGGTCCCTCTTATATAGTGACAATGGCAAACCTTAATAACCATTTTTTAATAGAATATGGAAATATCAGAACTACTGAAGGGTTTCAATGCTTTTTGCATTTCCTCCATAACACAAAATAAAGTGTATTAATATTTAAAGCTGTATTTAACTTTGCCCCCCCCCCCCAGATTTTGTTTTCAAACACAAATCGAGCGTTGTCCTGCTGTGATCCGCTGTTTGGGCAACATTAACCCAGGTCTTTTATCGAGGAACAGGTTGGTGGAAGCAAAAGATGAGACCTCATCCAAACTTTCTTATAGGACACAAAAAGATTTGGGGCATAGTGGATTGTTGTGGTGCCTAAGAATGAATATTACAAATATCTAAAAACAATCCAATTTATTAGCATAAACATATCCTTTATACAGTAAGCCTCCTACGAATGAGTTCAATTGCAGAGCACGTTTATAAATCCAAGTTGTTCATAAGTCCAACAAAGATCAGCTTGCAGACATTGGCTGTGAGCACTGATCAGTTCTGGGTGTTTCAGAACACAAAGGCACAGCAGGGGAGATCGCAGCACCAAGATTGCCTGTGTTGGTACGGCGATCTATCTGTTTTTATTCCATTCAGTCCGTTGGGTTGAATGAAAAAAAAAAAAGAGTGTGTACCCAGCTTTACATGATTACACATGCGAGCAGATGTTGTAATCTTTGAAAGTTTGCAACTTAAACGTTTGTAAGTAGGGTACTTACTGTACTAATAAATTGGATTGTCTTCAGATTTTTGTAATATTTGTTCTTGAGCACCACAAAAATCAACTATGCCCCAAATCCTTTTATAACCCGGGTCTTGCACCACCATCTTGGTTCTCTTGACTGTCTCTTGCAGGTTCAAGCAGCCAGTTCCCAATAACGCGCTGATCCTGTCCTCTAGCTGCTCTGTGTGCCTGGTCCTGTAGCCTCCTTTGAAATGTGACATAAGTATCCCAGGAGGCTGCAGGGCCAGGGACATGTCATTCTGCCCTAGGCCAGAATAGTGGCAGGTAGTGGGCTCAGATAAAAGAATATAAGAAATATAAATGAACACAGAGAAAAAAAAAAACAGCATTTGTGATTGCGGAGGGGAAGAGTTTGAGTGGAACAAACTCTATTTTGGGAGTTAAGTTCAGCTTTAAAGCAGGTAACTACACAATTGAAACACATATACAGTTGTGTTCAAAATAATAGCAGTGTGTTGAAAAAAGTGAATAAAGCTCAAAATCCCTCTAATACAGTGGTTCTCAACCTTTCTAATGCCGCGACCCCTTAATACAGTTCCTCATGTTGTGGTGACCCCCAACCATAAAATTATTTTCGTTGCTACTTCATAACTGTAATTTTGCAGTGGGAGGACTAGCGCCCCATCACTGATGTCAGTGGGATGAATAGTGTCCCATCATTGGTATCAGTGGGAGGAATAGTGCCCCATCATTGGTGTCAGTGGGAGGAATAGTGTCCCATCATTGGTGTCAGTGGGAGGAATAGTGCCCCATCATTGGTGTCAGTGGGAGGAATAGTGCCCCATCATTGGTGTCAGTGGGAGGAATAGTGCTCCATCATTGGTGTCAGTGGGAGGAATAGTGCCCAATCATTGGCGTCAGTGGGAGGAATAGTGCCCAATCATTGGCGTCAGTGGGAGGAATAGTGCCTCATCATTGGCGTCAGTGGGAGGAATAGTGCCCCATCATTGCCGTCAGTGGGAGGAATAGTGTCCCATCATTGGTGTCAGTGGGAGGAATAGTGTCCCATCATTGGTGTCAGTGGGAGGAATAGTGTCCCATCATTGGTGTCAGTGGGAGGAATAGTGTCCCATCATTGGTGTCAGTGGGAGGAATAGTGCCCCATCATTGGTGTCAGTGGGGGGAATAGTGCCCCATCATTGGTATCAGTGGGGGGAATAGTGCCCCATCATTGGTATCAGTGGGAGGAATAGTGCCCCATCATTGGTATGAGTGGGAGGAATAGTACCCCATCATTGGTATGAGTGGGAGGAATAGTGCCCCATCATTGGTGTCAGTGGGAGGAATAGTGCCCCATCATTCGTGTCAGTGGGAGGAATAGTGCCCCATCATTAGTATCAGTGGGAGGAATAGTGCCCCATCATTGGTGTCAGCGGAAGGAATAGTGCCCCCATCATTGGTATGAGTGGGGAGGAATAGTGCCCCATCATTGGTGTCAGTGGGAAGGAATAGTGCCCCATCATTGGTATGAGTGGGAGGAATAGTAGCCCCATCATTGCGTTAGTGGGAGGAATAGTGCCCCCATCGTTGGTGTCAGTGGGGGAGGAATAGCCCCCCATCGTTGGTGTCAGTGGGGGAAGGAATAGTGCCCCATCGTTGGTGTCAGTGGGGGGAGGAATAGTGCCCCATCGTTGTGTCAGTCAGCCCCATCGGGGGGAGGAGGAATAGTGCCCCATCGTTGGTGTCAGTGAGGGGAGGAATAGTGCCCCATCGTTGGTGTCAGTGAGGGGAGGAATAGTGCCCCATCGTTGGTGTCAGTGGGGGGAGGAATAGTGCCCCATCATTGGTGTCAGTGGGGGGAGGAATAGTGCCCCATCGTTGGTGTCAGTGAGGGGAGGAATAGTGCCCCATCATTGGTGTCAGTGGGGGGAGGAATAGTGCCCCATCGTTGGTGTCAGTGGGGGGAGGAATAGTGCCCCATCGTTGGTGTCAGTGAGGGGAGGAATAGTGCCCCATCGTTGGTGTCAGTGGGGGGAGGAATAGTGCCCCATCGTTGGTATTAGTGA